GCGCTCTCAGTGGATTTGGATGAAATTGTATTTGATTCTGGTGATAGAACTCTTATCAGTGCAGGTACCATCTTCGCCTGCACCATTGCCTTGAGCGCTCGTTTCGACGTTAGTAACTGGATCAGGCAACCGATACTTTCGTTGGTCGCTGATGGGCAGCCATTAATGAGCGTGATTAGTCCAAGGATCAGTGCATCCAACTTTTCTGCCTCCAAATTCTTAGTCTCCGGAGCCGATAAAACTATCTGTAGGATTCTCAGGGAATTCCCTACAGGCTCCACTTTACTATCTTTCAACACAGAGATGAGAGATTTCAGAACCGAATCCAGCTTCGAACAAAGCGCAGAGATCAGCCTCTGTTTGTTTCCCTCTTCAATGCAATCCAAACTCAAAATCAAAGATACAACCTTCAACCCGGCTCCCACCAAACTCAGTTCTTCATTCAACACAACAGAAACGATGATGTTGACGAAATCCCCGGCGTTAAAGATCGCATTCTTGACCGAATCGTCGACGTCGCAGTCCTCGAAGAAAGCAGCGAGCTTTCCGAGATGGGCCAACTTCTCCTCCTCGGAGCTGAGGTCGGCAGGGGCAAAATCGTCCTTTCCCCTGGACCAGACGTTGATGAGGCGGCGGAGGGTGAGGTTGGGGACGAGGTCGGTGGAGGGGAGGGGGATCATGGTGGCAGGGCACGTGGTGTTCCCGGAGTCGAGTCAGTGCTGGATCGACCGGCGATCGTAGGTGACGCCGGTGCAGAGGCTGACGGGGGAGCGCATGACCTCGAGGGAGATTGGGCAGCGGAAGAAGGAGGGGGTCTTGATTTCGAGGCGGAGCTGCTGGCTGAGTCTCTCTGACGCGGAGCTGCTTCTCCCCATTTATCTTTCTTTTTCTTCTTCTTCTTCTTCTTCCCCACGAGCGGTTTTTTGGTGATTTTGTTTGGTTTCGTGCTTGAACGGAGGTGGTGGTGGGGGTTTTAAGGGGGGTGGGAGGTAGAGGAAGAGGACAAGGGAGTCAAAGGGTTAAATGGTCAAATTGATGTTATCTCTTCACTCGTGTGTTGAGATTAGTAGCAGGGATGGGAGGTCACATCTCTATGCTAATTCACACGATGAAGGGGAAGTTTTCGGGCGTGTTGGGCAACGCGTTTATGACGTTAGAATT